AATCTCTATTAAATTAAAGGACTTATATAGTCGTTGGATAACTTTTTTGTTCTATATTTTTCTTTGTTCTATTATCCAATGTTTAGTATTTTTACATTGTCTATAGACATTTTTATTAGCACGTATTTTGTTTAATATTTTTGTCTACTCGCTTTCTTTTGTAATATAAGAGAAAATATATATGTTTTTTTAATCTTGAAATATTTTTTAAATTTTATTTTGTTGTTGTCAATAATATTATCTGAATTTTAATGAATAAAATCTTTATTAAATTAAAGGGACTTATATAGTCATCGAATAACGTTTTTGTTATGTATTTTTATTTATTATATTATTCAATATTTAATATTGTATTGTTAATACAAATTTTTATTAGCATATTATTTTGTTTAATATTTTTTCTACTACTTTTTTTGTAATATAATAGAAGATATATATTTATTAATCCTTAAATATATTTTTAAATTTTAAATTTTATTCTAATATTCTAAATAATATTGTCTGAATTTTAATTAATAAAATCTCTATTAAATTGAAGAGACTTGTATAGTCATTGAATAACTTTTTTGTTCTATATTTTTCTTTATTATACTAATCCAATATTTAGTATTTTTACATTTTTAATAGAAATTTTTATTAGCATATTACTTTGTTTAATAATTTTGTCTACTACTTTCTTTTTGTAATATAATAGAAGATATATATTTTATTAGTCTTGAAATATTTTTTTATTTTAAATTTATCTTATTGTTCTCAATAATATTTTATGAATTTTAATAAATACAATCTCTATTAAATTAAAGAGAGTTGTATAATCATTGAATAAATTTTTTGTTCTGTATTTTTTTTTATTATATTATCCAATATTTAGTATTATTGCATTGATAATAGAAACTTTTATTAGCATATTACTTTATTTAAAATTTCCGTTTACTACTTTATTTTTATAATATAATAGAATATATATATTTTATTACTCTTATAATATTTTTTATTTTAAATTTTATCCGATTGTTCTCAATAATATTATTTAAATTTTAATGAATAAAATCTCTATTAAATTAATGAGACTTATATAGGCATCAAATAATAGGCTTGTTCGATATTTTTCTGTATTATATTATCCAATATTTAGTATTATTTCATTGTTAATAGAAACTTTTATTAGCATATTACTTTATTTAAATTTTTTTATGTTACTTTAATTTTAAAATATAATAGAAGATATATTTTATTTTATTTTATTTTATTCTATTATTCTCAAGATATAATATTTTCTGAATAAATAAACTTTTTTATTTTTATAAAGAAATACATAATTAATATAAAAACTCAAACTTGAAACTACTTCCAATTTAAATGGAAAACTTTTTTTAATTTTCCTTTTTTTATTATAAAATAGTTTATTTTATTATTTTATAGATATTTAAATTCAAAAATAATAACCAATAACTAATTATTAACTACTTATGCCATATGAATTTTTTCTAGGCTGCCACTTGGCTTAAGGAGAAGGATTTTTTCTCTCCTTTTAATATTATCCAATATTTAATTAATTGCATTGTTAATAGAAACTTTCCTTAGCATATTACTTTATTTAAATTTTTATATGCTACTTTTTTTTATAATATAATAGAATATAACATATTTTATTATTTTTTAGTTTATTCTATTATTCTCAATAATATTTTCCAAAAAAATAATCTTTTTATTTTAAAAAAAGGTATTTGAAAAAACAAAGAAATTCTAAATTTCTTAGTTTTTTATTGAATGGTAATTTTAGTTTTATTTTAAAATAATTTTAAAACTCCAACTTGAAACTACTCCCCAATTTAAATGGACATTTCTTTTTTAAATTTTTGTTTTTTATTTTATTATCTTATAGATATTAAAATTCAAAAACAATAACCAGTAACTAATTATTAACTACTTATGCCATGTGACTTTGTTCTATGCTGCCACTTGGCTTAAGGAGAAGGCTTTTTCCTCTACTTTTAATAATATATAGATGGGAGCATAAAATTAGAAGAAAATACTTTTAAATGGTTGTGGATATATAAATTTGCCTCAGGAATTTTTGTTTTTCCATTTGTTCTTGAAAGTTCTAATGCTATGTGTCTATTGATTTTTAATGCATAATCCAGAAAAATATTACTCAGAAATTTAATATTTTGCCTTCTAAATGCATAATTTACGATTGATTTGCATAAAATTTTGAAAAGACTTTCTTTTCCTTGAAGACTATGAATAAAATTATGACAATTGAAATTTGTGATCTAAAACAAGTTATATAAACACTTGTTTAGCTATAATTTAAGAACTTCAAACTAAAAAAGTAATCTAATAAACCATTCTGTAATTGAAGTCACTTCAGAACTTCATAATTTAATAGACCATTCTATAATTCTCAAAACTAAAGGTAAAACTTTTACATTTCTACAAATTTACAACAAATTTTGATTCCTTCAAATGTAGCTTTGCACTAGTGTGGGTTGAAACTTGCTATTGCACATGTGTTATGGTCGTAGGCGGAGCTAGAAGGGGGAGATACTCGTTCAATTGAACCAGTAATTTTAATTTAAGCTTTATATTTATACTAAAAAAATCTATTAAATACATATTAAAATTAAATTAAAACTCAACTATTAACACATAAATAATTATAATGTAGAAAAATATAATAAAAAATTATCGTTAATTCTCGATTAGTATAATATACAAAAGAAACATACAGGTATTAACGAATAGGTGGAAGGTTTATGCAGAAGCTATTCACTCAAATACTTCTATAGACCATTCTGTAATTCTCAAAACTAGAGGTACAAGTTTTATAATTTGACAAACTTACAACTAATTCTGATTCCCACAAAATAACCGCCAAAAAAATCCCCTACATAAACCCACACTCTGCAACAGAAAATGAAAACGAAAACTCAAAACAACAATGGCAGCTTCCTTCAATCCACTCTCTTTCTTCATTATTTTCAGTTCACTTCTCTCATTTTCCACTTCACAAACCACCGCCCCACCACCGCCGCCGCCGCCTCAATCCCTCTTAAACGCCGCCGAAACACTCTCAAACTCCGGTTACGTTTCCATGTCACTCACTCTCGAACTCATCTCCGATACCATCCTCTCACGCGCCACCAAACACTCACTCTCACCTTCCGCCCTTACCATCTTCACTCCACCTGATTCCTCTTTCGTTAACTTCGGTCAGCCCTCTCTCTCTCATCTTCTCCTCCATTTTTCTCCTCTTTCACTTTCTCTCTCTTCACTTCAATCCCTCCCTTTTTTGTCCAAAATCCCTTCTCTATCTCCTTCTAGCTCACTTTACATCACGAGCTTAGCTACTGATCTTCAAATTTCAATAAATAACGTCAAAATCGTCGGGTCTCCGATTTACGACGACGGATATGTCGTCGTTTTTGCAATTGAAGATTTCTTCAGCCAAAATTTCACCCGCCCGACTACAAATCAAAACCCGAATTTCAAATCAAGTCCTCAGTGTATCACATTTGATCCATTTTCTCGGTTTTATGAGGTGTCGTTGATGTTGAAGTCAAAGGGGTACTTAATCATGGCTTCGTTTTTGGAGTTACAGTTAATTGGGTTTTTGAAGATTAATAATGATTCACCGCCGTTAAAGTTAACGGTGTTTGCTCCAATGGATGACGCGATTGTTGGGTACGCAGGGGATTTTTCTGACTATCAGCAGTTATTTTTGAGGCATTTAGTGCCGTGTGTTTGGTACTGGACTGATTTGAATAATGGGACTGAGATTAAGAATTATGTTAATGGGTTTAATATGATGATTAAGAAGGTTAATGACGTGGCATTTGTTAATGGAGTGGAAATTACGTATCCGGATTTGTATTATAATGATTGGCTTGTTGTGCATGGGTTGCAGAGTGTGATTCCTTTGCCTGATGAGATTGATGAAGAAATGGGTGAAAATTTTGGTATGGGTGAAAGTAATAATGCGGTAAATTTTGATGTTTCTATGGCTCCTGATCACAGTGAATTTTGAGGTAATGCGGTAATTTCTTTTTGAGTTTGTTTGGTGCATTATTTTTGATTGATTGATTCTACTTTTTCAAGATTAGTGTGTGTGTGTGTGTGTTCATAGCCCCTAATCGCTGTGAATTTTGAGGTAATGTGGTGATTTTTTGTGAGTTTGTTTGCTGCATTGTGTTTGATTGGTTTTTGCTTTTTCCAGATTACTGTGTGTGTATGTGTGTGTGTGTTTACATAGCCATTGATCGTAGTGAATTTTGAGGTATAATTAACAAGATGTTGCAGTAATTTTGGGAAATTTTATGAATAATTAATAAATTTTTATTTTATTGCCTAAGTTTCATAAAAGATAACTTACCTTTTTCCTTCTAATAACTTTTTTGTAATACTTAGTTAACTATAAACGATTTTTTTTAGTTACGCGAAAATAGTTTAGTGACTATCATGATACGAAAAATAGTTAAATGATCTATTAGTTACAGAAAATTAAAATGTTTGGAACATTGTGTTTGATTGATTCTGCTTTTTAAAAATATTTCTTTTGTATGTGAATTGATTTTGATATGTTGGTGCTTTTTATTTTATTTTTATATATACAGGTTAGGTTGATGGTGGAACTTTAGGTGCCGTGGCATTTGGAAACTGGAAATTATATTGCTGGTTTTGGTAACAATAGGGTGCTTCAATGGTTATAGAGTTCAAGTGAATGAAATTGTAGATTTCTGACTTTTAGTAATATAAAATAGTTTGACTAGTAGAATTGAGATGTATGTTCAATACCACTGTTGATCTTGAGAATATTATAATTTTCTGCAATGCTTTAACATTTGTGGTTTCCTATTTTCCATCTCTGTTTACTCTTTTCCTTGTTGCATTAAACAATGATTTTAATCAGATTAGAATTTCTTATTGACTTTTCTTTCCTCCCCCACATCCTATGTAGACCAAGATTTAATGAAGAAACATAAACAATAACGATTCAGTACCAAACAAGTTAGGATCGGCTATCTGAAACCTCGCCTAAACATAAAAAAGGGGACAAAAGTGAAAATGGACATAATAAGGATGGTAAAAAAAAAAAATCAACCAATTCAATTGTGAAGAATACTAGTGCTTCATTAATATGATATTCCATCTTAAGCTGTCTCTATCCAACTAAGTTGCTTTTCTTTAGTTTCTCAAGTTTCCTCCACAATGCTTTAACAGTATCCTCTTTTCCCTCTTCAAGAAGTGTCCGTTTTAGATTATCAAACAAGGGAAGTGGAGGTCTCATGCCCATGTCAAGCATCTCTTGAAAGTATCTACAAGCATCATCCAATCTATTCTCATGGCAAAAGCTGTTGATCAATGTCGAAAACATATGCATTCCGGGAAGAACTCCCCTAGCTTTCATCTGATCCCAGACTCGAAGAGCCATATCTGTCCGGTCCTCGTTGCAGAACATCCTCACCATTATCTCGTATGTACTCACAGTCGGTTCGCACCCAGGATCATTGCTCATTTTCTGAAACACCGAATAAGCTTCATTCGTTCTTTTGGCTTTTATAAGATGGTGAAGAATAATGTCATATGTTCTGGAATTCGGACCAATCTTACATCTCCTCATCTCATCGACTAACTTATATGCATCATCCATACGCATAGACCAGCAATAAGCTCCCACCATTGCGTTAAATGTGAATACCTCAAGATCAAAACCACTACCCTTATACAGCTCAAAATACTTAAGAGCCTCGACCAACCTTTTCTCCGATCCCAAACCATTTATCAACGTGCAATACACATGAGGCGTTACCCTAATCTTCTTCCTTTCCATTTCGCGTAACAACTCAATCGCCTCATCATACTTCTTAACCTTGCAATGAGCATGGATCATGATTCCATAGCTCACAACATCAGGCTCAATATCATCAGCCTTCATCTCCTGATAAACTTCATTTAGCCTCAACAAATTCTTCTCTCCACCCCACCCTTCTAACAATATAGTATAAGACTTAATATTAGGCTTAAATTTCCCATTATTCTTCCATTTATCAAACACTTCTTGTGCTTTCCCAACATTCCTAGACTTGCTCAATGTATCAAGCAATCTATTAAAATCTTGCAACTCAACAACCAATCCATATTTCTCCATCCTCTCAAATGCCTCGATAGCTTCTTTAACCTTCCTAGCACGAGCATATCTTCGTGAAATAAGTGCAAATGCCTCTTTACACAACAACCCTTTCTTCTTCAACTCATCAACCAAAATCCAAACCATTTTAAACTGTTTGATCTTTCCTAGAGCTTCAATCAACCCATGATAACTCTCTGAAGTATGCACGAAACCGTTCTGTTTCTCAGCCCAACGGAAAAAAGACAATGCTAAAACCCCAGAATTGCTGAGCTTCTTTACAACCTCATCAACTAATAAAGGATTCACATTTCCTGAAACAGAACTCAAAGCATCAGCTACACCTTTCGTCGAACAGGTGGTGTTCAATAAAATTTTGCAGATTCTTTCTGCTTCCAGTTTAATTAGTGCATTTTGGGGATTTGAGTTTTGGTTATTATCATTAGAAGAGGCATGGGTATTCACTGAATTGTAATGAATTTGAAAAAATGGCAATAATTTGTGAAATGGGTTTCCATTTTTTATGGGTTTTGTGGGGCTGTGAAGTGTAGGAATTAGGGTTTTAGGTATGCGGCTGAGGGATCGATGAAGACTCATTTTTTGGGATGAATTTTGAGTGAAGAAATCGAATTCTAGAGCGTTTGGCGGGAGTAAGCGGAAATGAATAATAAGGTCTCCTGAAAAAAAGATTGTAAATTATAACAGGATTATACCCCGTGCAAAAATAGTCTAACTTTAACAAATTAATATCTCTAAACCTTTTTATAAGTCACTCTATATCGAAAAACTATAGATAAAGAGATAAAAATTCGTAACAGAAAATTCATACTGTAACAAATAAGTAAGTCCAAAAGAGGAAATAAGAATGGAGAAAAATTGAACATGTCTATTATTAGCCTTGGACTGCATGTGTACATGTTTTGAATAGTTAGGGGGAGTATTAGTTCTCTAGAGTACACATAAAGGATGATTTTGATTCAACGCTGAAACTTAAGGGACTATTTTGGACCTTTCTCCGATTTATTTCATTCACAACAAATAAATCGGATTCATCTATAAGTCTTGTTCGAGGAATGCAATTATAAGTACCATTCAATTATTGCGATTTATAAGTCTGCATTCTCTTAATGCGATTTATAGTCCGAATCGTTCTCTATCACATACAACTTCTTCTCCCTTTACAGACTCTTCTCCTCCCTCTTCCGCAACCTCAAACACTGTTCCTCCGCCTCGCCGACGTCGGTGATGGAGCTGGCTCGGCTCGCCGTTTGGCGGTGATCATGGTTCTATTCAAAGGACTTTGATCCAAACTGTGAGTTAACAGATTCAATTTATATTTAAAAACTATTTAAGATATCCCGCACTAATATGGTTTCTAAGACTCTAGCAAGTAACTTACAACGGAAGGTATTCTAGCCAACAAGGCCGACACTTTGGATCTTGTTTGGACGAAACGGAAGATACTGTCAATAAATAGAAGTACATTTTATTCATTAACACCTCGAAAATAGTTCTTCATAGTTATGGCAGTCAAACCAGCTCTGATACGAGCTCCCCGCGGCCATTAACTTACTACAATAGTTCTTTCACATATTAATATTGCTGGAATTGTAATTGATGCGGTTTTGGTACAATATTATTAAATGCATTACCCAAAGTATCTTACCTTAATTAACTTGTGTTAGGAACGAATTTCAGAGGGAAAAAGAGAGACAATATCAGCTCATGATGCCAGTATAAGAACTTTTAATTAAGATATCTCATACTAATATGATCCGGTGTCTATGAACTATGATTGTTGTGTCTTATTGTAAACTCAACCAAAATTGTTGTATTTTTTTGAATATCTTTATCTTGTCTGATAACCAATATGATTCTAAGGGCAAAAGCATGTCATATTTATTTCAACTTGAATTACCCAAAGCTTTATTATGTTTTTTTTGCTATGAGTGTGATCTGAGGATTTACAGTACTGCCAAAGAAATTATCAGTAAGTTAATCTTTACTGGAAACCTATTTGGCAGTAGAGAAGGAAAAAGGATATGGTCTAATAGCCAATGAAGTCGATTGAGAATTATGAAGTTTCAGGTTTAAATCCCAACAAAAACAAAAATATTAAGTGATTTTTTCTCATCTGTCCAAGCGTTGGTGGACAAAATTACCATGTAGCAGGTACCTCGTGCAATTATTCAAAGTATACCAGATAATAAGTACCTCGTACAATCAATCGAGGTACGCGTATACGGCGCGTACACCACGTTTATTTGTTAGCTTATTAAGTAGTCAGAGGAGGTAAAAAGATCCAAATTCCATTAATCCTGAAACTCGAAATCCAAGATCGGTAGGAATGGACACGGTTGTCCTTTTGTTTTTGTTTTTTTCCTTCTGAGAAAAGAAAAAAGTTTTGTTGTTGGGTTAAACAAAAAAAAATTCTCTTGTTTGGAATTGGAGTCGAGAGAGCAATTGTGCCTTTTGGGTTAAACAAGAAAATATTTTCTCTTGTTTGGACGAGACAAAACACATTACATTAATACCATAAACATCACATAAAAAAATTGAACAGATTAATCTTTTTTTTTTAAAATTAATGAAAGTCATATAAAATCTGTATTTGTTAAGATTGCTGATTTGACATAATTGAGGTGAGGTGTAAATCAAGCTTTGTTCCTACAAACAAATGTAGAGTTGAGAAAAGTAGACCTTGTCCACTATACATATATACGCATAATAAAAAACCCAAAAAAAGAAGGAAAAATGGCCAAATATACTCATTCATCTACTCTCATATATTGTTTACATTTAACCTACGTTATACTATCATGCCAAATGAATCTCTACTCAGAGGCGTATCCAAGATTTTAAGAACATGGGTGCACCATTTTTCGGCTTGGTGAGAAATATATCCATTTTAATCTTATGGATCGTCCCTTCAAAATTAAATATTCACACTTCTATTTAATCTATCTTAATTCAAATAAATTGTTAAATTCAAATCAATCATATTAGAGCATGTCAGTCAACAGATAAAGAAGATAGCACAATAATTAGGCATTTGTAGTTCTGTACATGTATGTTTGACACTTTAATTGTGTTTGAATTTGAACAAGTTATTCAATAAAGTTGCAGAGAGAGAATTAAAATACAGAACAAGGAGAGAGTAGTTAGATACCTAAGACTGAGAATTTTACAAGAACGTGATCGTGGAGAAGAAATGTTGCTTCTTGAAGAATCCATTCACAAAGGCTAGAGCCGATAGAGAGAGAGTTGAGAGGGAGACAGACTCTGAAGTTTGCTTTTAGGAATTAGGAATTTGATATATTAGTATATACCCAAATTCCTTCTAAAAACGTGGGTCATGTTTTTAGTCAAAAGAAACTTTAAAAAAAAACTTAATACAGAAAATGAGGGGGAGAGAGACTAGACTGTGAAGTTTGCTTTTTAGGAATAGGGATTTGATATATTAGTATATACCTAAATTCCTCCTAAAATATGGGCATGTTTTTAGCCAAAAGAAACTTTTAAAAGAAAAAATAACTTAATATAGAAAAGATGAAGGGACAGAGGATCGAACCATAAACCTCGGGGTACACAGGGGCACCAACTTACCAATACACCAAGGTAGTCAATTGAGCATCGGTGATAACAAACATATCTATACATATCTATACATAGCCTAGGGAGGGGAGCATGAGTGCATGTACCCCACCCCCTCCACGTAAATCCGCCTCTGCCTCTATTGTTATACTTTCAATCAACAAACTTTGTAAAATACCCCTTGATCTGTTAAGTAATCCAAAATCTCCTAAATTCTTTTTATTTAAATCACTTATTGTTCTTCTTGCTCCATTATTTTCAAAAAGTACTATTGATGTGAATGCTAAAGTTACTAGACTATACAAATTATTCATAATTTTTGTAATTAACAATGCACCCATTTCTCTTCTTGTAATAAATAAAATTGATTTAGAATTTTATGTATTTTTTAATTATATACACACTGTAAAATTTAGTGGGTCTATTTATTGTGTTTTATATGCAGTTGATCATCATATATGTACATGTATATTCAAATATATTTTGTTATTGCCTGGTTAGTATAGAGTTCGATCGACTAACTTAAGAGTGTACAATGTGTATGCATTTAATTAAAGCAAAATTGAATTAGACAATGTAAAGTCTCCGATGAACTTCAACTTCAATTACTAATACTTACAAAGTCTCCATACATTTGGTGCAACGAATTCATTAAAATTGGAATGTTGTAAATACTTTTAGAATTTAGAAAAACTATCCAATTTAAATTTTTTAATTTACTATACTTTGTTTATTCGGTTGTATTATTTAATATTTTTTTCTCTTATTTTTTTCTCTAATTCAGAAAGCATGTAAATGCCAATTATTTCAAAAATATTGGACCAAGAAGAGCAACAAGTGATTTAAATAAAAGAAATTTGGGAGATTTTGGATTACTTAACACATCAAGGGGCATTTTTAAAAGTTTGCTGATTGTAAGGATAAATTTGGCCCGATAATATAACGGTAGGGGTAATTTGGCCCGATAGTATAACTGAGGTTAAATATTAATAATACATGAAAGTAGATGAGTATATTTGATCTTTTCTCAAAAAAAGAAATAAGAACCGTTGTTCGCTTTTTAGTTTTGTCTTTATTCTTCATTCACTCACTTTTTCATCGATTCAAATAAAATTACGGTTAATCAAATAACAATTGATTAAATCAGTGGCATATAAATCGCATTTGGACTGCATGTGCACCTATTTTGAATAGTTAGTGGACTATTAATATTCTATGTAAAATATAAATGATGAATTTGATCCAATGCTGAAACTTGAAGGACTATTTAGGATCTTTTGATGTATAAGTCGCGGTTGGTAATTGCAACTTATAAGTCTCATTCAGTAATATTATTTGTAAGTAGTATGCAGAAAAAGTGATTTATATGTCTTATCTCATTAAATGTAACTAATGTTTTTTCTCTTATTTTATTTTGGTTTCTACTTCTGCTTATTTTTGTGAGACATGTAAAAACTTTTCCAGGTGCCATGGTGAGAGGGGCGGATCTAGCATAATAACTACAGGTTCTCGTGAACACGATAGCTTTTGTCTAGATCCTGTATTTGTATTGAAAATCCTATTAAATGTATAAGAATATTTAGCTTGAACTTAATGCGTTAATTCAATTATTATTATATATTAACTTGAGATTTTTTTAGGAACACATAAACTTAAAATTCTGGATCCATCTCTCACCATACAAAAATCCCAACCTAGTAGGATTAGCATAATCTGTATTTTCTTAAACTTTAAAAGCAGCGAGAACGCAAGGTTAATTTTTCAAATGGTCACTTATCTTATGATTATTTTAACAATCATAAGTTCCTAGTTCAAATGAAATAAAAGAAAATGAAGAAAATGAATGGTACTATTATGAAAAAGGTACTCAATTATTTTGGACTTCAAGTCAAGCAGAATGTTTAGTTATATGAATTTGACTATATTAAGTCAGGCCATTAGTTCCTCTTGGTCAAGCTTCTTTTGATGCAAAAGGATTTTTTTCTAAAATTAAGATGTTTAGCCAAACTTTTAAAAGGAAAAAAAAATACTTTTGAAAGGAAAAAAATGATTTTGACGAGAAGCAAAATCAGTTTTGGAAGAGCAGAAAATAGTAGCTTCTCTTTAAAAGCACTTTTGAGAAAAATACACTTAAAAACAGTTTTTTAAAGTTTGGCCAAACATTAATTGATGTTCAGAAGTGTTTTTCAAATTAATTAGTCAAACACAAATAGGTTCTCACCAAAAGTACTTTTGAGAAAAAGCACTTTTTAAAAAAAAACTGATTTTTGCAGGGTGACCAATGTAGCTAACCTTCTTAAAGACAAGCAACCCTTTTTAAATTTTGGAGAATAATAATGGAAGAACAAGTTTCATATTGGATAAGGGG